CCACACTGGTGCTGCGTAGTTTAAAACCGGCCGGCCTATTGCCTTGTATGTTGCCAGCAACTCTGCACTTTATTGACAATAGCGGTTGTGTACGCAGAGAAGGAGAGCAGGTTGTCGAATGTTACTCCGAGTATTTTAGGATTATTCACCGTCGGAATTGGTGCGTCATCGACGTGAATTCCTAGCGGTAGCCTGACCTCCTTCATCCAGGTTGTGAACAGGGTCGCAGATGATTTCGTAGGGGAGAGGGCTAGACACTTTGCAGTGAAGAAGCGAGAAAGGTCAGAGAGATATCCGTTTACTTTCGAACACAAGTCATCAATTCCATTCCCAGTCGCCATGATCGAGCAATCGTCGGCGTAAGAGACAATCGAGACTCCCTCTGGTGGTTGAGGGAGCTTTGAAATGTAAAAGTTAAACAGTAGTGGGGAAAGGACACCACCCTGTGGAACCCCCTGTTTTATTTTTCTAATTTTGCTCGATTTGTCTCTAAACATTACCGACGAGTGTCGACCACTCAGATAATTTGCCGACCACCGTTTGAGCCTCTGTGAGAGAGGAAGCCTATATATCTTCTAGTAGCGTGGAATGGCTGACAGTGTCAAAAGCCTTTGACAGGTCCAACGCTACTAGAATCGTTCTCTCACAGGGACGTTTACAGTTGAGGCCACGAGTTATCTGAGAGTTTATGGCGTTAAGTGCTGTTGTTGTACTGTGCACTTTACGGAAACCATGCTGATGCTTCGCTGGGGTCAAGTGGTTGGTGAAGTACGGGAGTAGCAAGGCCTCGAGTGTGTTCGCTACCGGGGAAAGGAGTGTTATCGGACGATAAGAATCTCCTATGTTGGCGGGTTTCCCCGGTTTGAGCAGTGGGACCACTCTCCCCACCTTCCAGATGTCTGGGATGATGAGAGTGGCCATGGACAAATTGAGGACCTCCGTTAGGTACGCTACCCCCGCAGGACACAAATTTTTCAGCATCAGCATGCATATTCCGTCGGGACCCATAGCTTTGGAGGCTTTCGCCTTCCCGATGGCCACCTGAACTTCACCGCAATAAAAGCAAGGGGGGCACAAGTTGTTGGCAGTTTGTGCAGCGTTCTGGTCACTCGACGCTTGGCTTTGTCCACGGAGGATGCAGTATGAACTGCCGGATAAAATAGCTCGCGCATCGCTCCGGCTCCGACGAAGCATGGTCGCCGAAAGAAATTTCGACTCTATCGTCGTGCTTCGTCGGATTGGACAGTGACCTCACGGTTGACCAAAGCTTACTCACACCAGAGGTGAAGTTACAGGTCTTCAGATGCTCCTCCCACTTCTTCCGCTTATGTACGTTTACTAGTTGCCGAATCTCCTCGTTGAGATCCCTAATACGGGGATCTCCGGGATCGGCCTGAAGAAGGCTGTCGCGCTCATCGGCTAGAACAGCCGCTTCGGCAGGGAAGTTTGGACGTGGGTCCGTTATACATCCTGCCGATATGAAGCGAGCTGCAGCTAGGGATGCAAACGATGCATCGATGTTTCTGAAACATCGATAACATCGGCCAAAAAACCGATGTTTACCATCGATATTTGAAAATTACCTAACATCGTAAAATTGGCGATATATCGATATCAATTTTAACGATGTTTTAAACATCGACTTTAGTTTCAGTTCAAAATTGCCATTGCGTTCACATATTTATGCTATATTCTTTGGGCTCTGTCACACGGTCAGTATTTATTGACGTGATCCAAGTATCGCGATATTTATTGACGGTGTAGTATGCAGTATTGATGGATCGTGATCCATATCGCAAAATTTCTAAAAGTTTTGAAATCTGGATCGCGGATCACAATACCGTCAATAAATATTAAACGTGGAGCACTTTCAAAACGCGATCCATATATATCTTCAGTACATCTTTTACTCTCACAATGTAAACATCGGCTCTGCCTTCACTCTCGGGGCTTAAAATCTTTCAAAACAAATTGAACAAATCTTAAAATAATTGTGGAATACATTATCTATAAATTATACGTACAAAATAAAAATATTTTCCTGCGTCATAATAAGCGTCCAGCAAAAAAAATTATGCAAATACTGACGCGATAAATATTGAACATGTAGCATTCGTGCGCGATCCATCAATCAATCAATATGGATCGCGATCCAAATATCGTGATAATTACTGACCGTTGGACAGAGCCCTTTGGGTAAGTGTATTACGGGTGATGGTAGCCCTGCACTTAATAAAAGCAATTGGCAACGTTGAACATAGGCGATTTCCATGACGTAGTTACAGTATTTCAACACGACTTAAGCTGATGCCAGATAAAACTTTGTAGCTTTGCGTGACATTTATAACTTTGCCAGCAAAGCGCCAGACGCAAAAGGTATGCCACAATGAACGCCAAGAAAACAATGTTGTACCGCTTTTTTACTCATCAAAGTTGCTGTGGATTTTAATTATTTTGATTTAAAATTATCAGCAATGTAATTAAGTTTTATGTTATGTTGCATGAAAACCAGAATTTGGACGAAACAAAATAAATATTAAACCGGCTGATTGTCAAAGCGCGCAAAAAGATGGGAGTTGACCATCTTTTCGCTTCGCGCTGCCGCTTCAACGATTTATGTGGCATGCTTTGTGCATTTTCATACAATTCATCTTATCTGTCAAAGCGAATCTGTCACGTAAAGCGAAGCAAAAGTTTTATGTGACATCAGCTTTAAGGTGAGTGTAAGTATTATCTGCGCGTAAACAGCTAATCTATTATAACATTGGAAGGATCTAATCTAATTAAATTCAAAAAACCACCCATTGAAATGTTAAACGTGTAGCAGTTTAGAAGGACACAAGGTTTTTCTTAAAATTTTAACCCGCATTAAGTCAGTTCCAGGTATTTCCGGATTTGCAGGTTTTACAGGTAAAGCGGTTTTCGCCATTAATAAACCTTATGGAAGGTGGCGTACGTTAACAACTTCCTGTAAAAACCTGCAAATCATGAAGTACCTGTAACATACTTATTAAAAAGATAAACATCGGAAAATATCGATGTATCGATAGTTTTAAGGCGATTTTTTTCGGCATCGATGTTAGTGTTTACGATACATCGAAATATCGATGTATCGATGTTGGCTCTTAAAATTTGCATCCCTAGCTGCAACAGCAGTGATAGCCCTGCGGAACTTACGTTCACCGAGAAGGACGTCGGTTGGTGTGGGAAGCGCAGTGAAGGTGTTTTCAGTGAACTCCGGGTAACCTTTCCAATCAGCTTTAGAGAAGTTGATATAGGTCCGGTGTTTAGCGGAGGCAAAGTCGGTTGGTTTATCTATCGAGATGACTATGGGTAGATGGTCTGATGCTAAGGTCAGCTCGTTTGACAGGCTTGATCGTGATGCGCATTCAAGTCACCTACTACCATATGGTTTTCTCCTCTGAGGAGCGCACCTATATCAGGGTGATATTCTGCCGGGCAGCAGGTGACAGGAGGTATGTATATGTTAAATATTTCAAGCTCCACATCGCCTGACCGGATAGCAATGCCCTGACATTCTAGGGTGGTATCCCCGCGGTCGATGTCTGCTTCGATAAGACGATACTGCACGGTTTGGTGCGTGATGAACGCTAAGCCACCACCATTATCTCGCTCGCGATCTCGACGGTGCACGTTGTACCCGGCCTAATTCAACAATGTTGAATTGCTGTGCAACTTCGTCTCTTGGACCGCAGCTATAAATATACCATGCCGACACATAAAGACGGTTATCTCCTCAATCTTGCTCTGTAGCCCGTTACAGTTAAATTGAAGGAGCTTCATGTAGTTCGGGAGACGTGTTGTGATGTGGGGTGTAAGGGATGTCCGTGTTCTTACTGCCGTTGGCTGTGTGCGCTGCTGTGATGGTTGCCGCCCTGTGGTGGTGGTGGGAGGCGTCGCAGTTGGGGTCTGCGACCGAGCAGCGCAACACGGGCCCTCGAAGTTCCTCGTCCAGTCTCGCGTGGTACGCAGGCCTGAGCATGGCCTAAAGTGGCACTAGCCAAGGCAGGTGTTGCACTTGACTGATGTCACATGGTGGTGGCGCGGCTGTCTGTGTTCTATAGTCCCTCGTGGCTGTGGTATGGTCTGTGGTGTTATTATGCTGTTGTGCTGTGGTGACTGTGTGAGGCTGCTCTGGTGGACTGAGGTTAGCCGTGGAGGCTGCTCTGTTTGAGCAGCAGGGGGTCATACACGACGTGGTCCACTGCCTATGTGTCCGTAGTCCTGAGCAGACTCTGAGGTGACACCACCTCTCGCAAGCATTGCACTTGACAGAGGTGGAGTTGTGGTAAAGTCGTCTCTGGCATACACAGCAGGTGTAGGTTTCTGGCCCTGGGTTTGACTTGATGCCAGCCCTGAGTAGGAGAAAACGTAGCGAATGTAGCCCTATGGACGAACAACTTCTAAGATACCTCGCCGACTTAAACGGGGTTAGATCGCCGAAACAACAGCCCTTGGTCGGGCAAAAGGTGTTCGGCCCCTTTTCTTTGGCAACACAGAAAGGAGAATTCTGCTGCCTGAGGGTTATAATCCCTAAGTGCGGCCGAAGGCCGCCTACGAAGAAAGGTGTTCAGCCCCTGACCCCCCTACTATTTATTTTTATCTGAACAAAAGAACCTTATCGTATTTTCCTTTTAATCGTATTTTCTTTTGGTCTTGCTTTCCACTCTTGGTTTTTTACATATGGCAACACAGTCCTGCTGCCATTGCACATATTCTGCACGTACTCTCATAAAATTAAACAACAATCAATTTTTTATATAAATGCTGTAATATACTAAAAGTATTTATTTGTTTGAACGTGCACAATCTAACTGCGCATGTATTGAGTGTAAATAACGTGTAAATTTAGTGGAAAGTGCATTATATATTGTGAAATAGTCCATTATCGGCTATTTTGGGCCAATTTTCGATGGGCCCGCTAAAGTGCACCACTACCATAACTTGAGAATTAAAGCAAGATCTTGTCGAAGTCGAAGTTACAAAAATGTATCGAGTAATACTTGTATTGCCTTATCTCTATTCGGACTAAAATTAACAGTTCAAAACAAAAACTTTTCAGACATTTCTTGACGAAATAGTTATGTACTATAGGGAGTTTACATGATTTAACTTTCACAGGCGATTAGTTGAATCAATAGTTGAACGAAAGTGGGCAGCTGGCCAACTCCATTAAAAGCGATTAGTTGAAAGGCTGTTTACACTAGGCGAATATTGCTTTCAGCTAAAAGTTGCCAGAAAAACGCCTCATGGAAATTTCCTATTACTGCCATGGCAAATATCATTGATAAGGTTAGAGTTCTTTTGGTGGGAGATTCAGGTAATATTTCGTACTTATATACATATGTGCATATTTATTCACCCAACTGGTTTTTTAAATAAGGGGTTGGAAAGACTTGCCTTACACACTTGATATCGCACAAAGAGTCGCTCTCTCGTCCAGGGTGGACTGTTGGATGTAATATAGAAGTCAAGTTACACGAATACAAGGAAGGAACTCCTCAACAACAGTTGTATTTCATTGAATTTTTTGATATTGGTGGGTCATTAAGCCATAGGAATACTCGTGGTGTCTTTTATGCACCAATACACGGCATTATTCTCGTTCACGACCTTACCAATCGCAAAAGTCAAGAAAATTTGCGCGAATGGCTGTACGAAATTCTCAACAAAGAAGGAAAAGATGTAAGAAATAGTAGTGGCGACTGCAGTTTTGATCCGGAGCAATTTTTAGGCTCGACTCAACTCCCATTGTTGGTAATGGGTGCCAAGTTGGATCTTTTAGATGAAAGACGTCAGCCAAAACCACTAAAAAAAATTGGTAGCATAGGTAAGTTCTGCTCAACTGAAACCATAAATACCAAAACTACAGAATACGAGGGCTTGTACAACAAATTCAGGGTACCCCTAAAATTCCCCTTTCTCATTTTTTGAGGAATTTTCTAAGTCGACATTTCGATTCTTTTACGAAATTTCGGAAGAAAATCTAAATGCTGTGTTATGAATAAATCTTTCACAATTTGCTTTAATTATTTAATATTATTTAATAATTAAAATTTCTTTTCGAGTTCGAACTAACAACCTCTTCATTCGATTTTCTTTTTAAAATTTGTGAAGTCGTTGCAAAATTCGGAACACATTTCCGATATTCTTCAAGATTTCGTTAATATTTTGGTAACTATGGTTTGCAAAGTTCGTTATAGGCATTTGTTATACTGTTTATACTTAATGTTACTATAAATGTATGCGTTCGTAGAAAACCCTGACTAAATAGTTATTTTCAGTGAGCAAGTATCGTTTTTTCCTGCTTTTTATTTTCAAATAAAAATGCAGTTTGCCTGATCTTGTTTTGAAGTAGAAAACCTCTTTGATAATAAAGTGTTATGTCTTGTTAATTTTTTTGGGCCGACCCAAAGTTTTTATATCGTAAATTTTTATAGTTTAATAACTTTTTCATATGTACGATTTTTTTCGCAGTCTTCTATATCTTTCAGAACATTTTAAACCTAAATTGCATTTCAATCCGTAGTTTTCATGAATACTCAAAAACTTACCAAGATAAAAATCCAGCCGAGTTCATACATATGTATGCATACAAAAAATTGATTGCTAAAAAAACTTTAGTTTTTTTTTGTCTTAAAAAGTATTGGTGAAAAATAACCGGTTATTCTTGCTTTAAAAAATAACGACAACTATGTTATTAATCAAATTTATACCTTCAATAAATTGCAGCAGAACAGTGTGGAGCGGAGGAAATCTGGTTGAATTGTAGGGATCCCCGTAGTTTGTCTGCTGGAACAACAGATGCTGTGAAATTGTCTCGGTTCTTTGATCGAATAATTGAGAAAAAAAATCAGTCGCGCGACTCCTCTACGTCATTCGCGGATAAAAGAAAGTGTACAAGTACTTTCAATGCCAACACGGAAACATCGACAAAATTAATCACATTACTGCGTTGAATATGCTAATATGAGAACAAATGCAGAATACCTACAATTCTCAACTTAAAAAAAGAGAATCCATAGAGTCCATTGAGCTGAACATAACAGTATGTTTTTTTTTTGGGAAACAAATACAAGAATTATTAAAGGTCAAATAAATCAATATTTCTCGAACACTTTCTATTGATGTCATTCAATAGAGAATGTAATTCTCTTTAATTTTATATATGTACATATATTATATACCAGATCGCTCTCAATCGCCTCGCTGAGTGTATGAGATTCCTACGTGCTACATTAGGTGTAATTTTCTTCCATTAAACTCAGCATACTTAAAATATACCCGTATTATAATCATTCATTGAAATTATTGAATAGTTTGAATTTTACTTCTTAAACCATTAATTCCTATAATTCAAGTAGAATTTGAATTTTCAAACATGTGGAAACCCTGCTATATATACATATGTTGCTTAGAAATAAAGCCTCAGAAAATTACCTTAAAAACCTCAGAAAATTATACATGTACGACTTTAAAAATAGGTGGCAGCCCTCTTCCAAATATTTTCCTCCTAAAACCCTATTAAACTTCTGACATCCATATTGTGATACATATTCAAATCACCAAATTCCCTTGATTAAAGAATTTGAATTTCAAACAGATGGTAACCCTCCTACATGGGTTCGATTGATACCCATATTGTAGTAATTCATTTAATTTGAGTTTCATTTTTAAATGGGTGGCAACGCTTCAGTAACATTCACCTCAGTAACATTCTAAATGTGCAATCTGAAGGTTTCTTAGTAATCTTTCATTTGACACCCATATATTAATTTTTCAGAGCTTGCGAATAACTAATTTAAATTTGGCTTTTCAAACCGGTGGCAACCCTTTCCAAAATATTTTTCAAACTATAACTTTTTTAAGCCTCTTGCCATCCATTATTTGACCCTTTCCGTGGATTTGCGAATTTAACACACGCACAGGTAAAAACTCTTAGTTCTAATTGTTTATTTGTGGGTTAAACAATTGTTACAAATTTTAGATGCCCTATTAAATATATCTGGCAAGCTATAACTTTTGAACAATAAGCTTTCCACAAAACAAAAAGAAATATTTTTCTCATCTTTAGGGGGTTGACTTTTCCCCGATATACAAACTTTTAGATTTTTAGCTTACCGTAAATTTTTTTTCGACACTGAAAGGGTTAAAATAATTTTCAAATAAATAATTCCCTTAATGCAAGTCGAATTTGATTTTTTAAACGGGTGGCAGCCCTCTATGAGTATGGAATTGATTTTATATATATCTATACCAAGTTCCAGTACTCTATCCAAAATATTTCTTGAGATATGCGGAATGAAAAATTACGTTTGTATAGGAAGTGCTTGGCCCCCTCGTCTAATGTAAATTAAATCTATCCTATATTTTAAGTTGGGCTAAATAACACCTGTGTACAAAATTTTATGAGTATCGGTTGAATAGTTAAAGCGTGAAAGCGTAACAAATAAACAAACTCACTTTCGGATTTATAATATTAGTAAGGATACCTTTTAAAATACAGCGGCTCCGCTGGCTTGGTCATGTCGTTCGAATGGACACCGACGCTCCAGCTCTGAAGGTATTCAACTCGCAACCCGCTGGTGGTAGCAGAGGAAGAGGGAGGCCCCCACTGTGATGGAAAGATCAGGTGGAGAAGGACTTGGCTTCACTTGGCGTTTCCAATTGGCGTCAGTTGGCACAGAGGAGAAACGACTGGCGTGCTTTGCTGAACTCGGTCAAAATCGCTTAGGCGGTTATAGCGCCAAAAAAGAAGGATACCTTTTAAAAAGTATAGTGTTTTTGCGTATAACTTCTTTCTGTGTAGGCGGCCTTCGGACGCACTTATGGATTATAACCATCACTAAGTAGAATTCTTTCTGAACACCTTTTGCAGAGAACACTTTTCTGCTTAGGTGGCTTTCGGTCGCACTTAGGGATTATAACCCTCACAAAGTAGAATTCTCTTTCAGTGTTGCGAAGAAAAGGCACTGAACACCTTTTGCAGAGAACACCTTTCTGCATAGGCGGGCTTCGGCCGAACTTATGGATTATAACCCTCACTAAGTAGAATTATCCTTTCTGTGTTGCCAGAAAAGAAGCCGAAGTATTTCTGCGTAGATTAGAAGTTTGTGAAAACTTTAAAAGGTATATGTATAAATATGAATATCAGATTAAAAGAGAATTATGTTCTCTATCGAATGACATCATTTTCCAAATCCATGAAGAGGTTATTGAGTTACATTGATTTAAAAAAAGCTTAATTTGAACTTTGACCTTTAATAATTGTTGTTTCCCAAAAAAACTAAATATATACCGCTACGTTCACCTCAATGGTCTCTATCGATCCCCAAAAGAATTTTTTTTAATTTGAGAATAGTAGGTATTTGCACTTATGCCCTAATATGTAAACTTTTAAAAAAAATTAGTCAAGAATATTAAACAAAGTAAAATTAATCGAAAGGTTTTAAGTTGCAATAATGTATTTATTGATTTATAGTACTTTTAAGCAGCAAGAAAAAAAATTAACCTGGTGGCCACTGCATTTGACGTCCTCCTAGAAAGTGCAAGTGCAAATGATAAACTGACTGTGCTCCATGCTGACCGTTGTTTACAACCACTCGGTAACCTTTATCTAATCCTAACTCATTGGCTACTTTTGCACCTACTATCATAAGATGACCAAGTAATTCTTTATCATCTCCATTAGCATGCGATAACTGAGCAATGGGTTTTCTAGGTATTACTAGAAAATGTGTGGGCGCCTGGGCATTAATGTCATGAAAAGCAACACACTAAAACAAATGATTTAGTTTCTTGTTATTACAGAATTTATGAGGCTTACTTTTTCATCCTCGTAGATGAAATTGCAAGGAATTTCTTTCCGAAGAATTTTCCCGAAAATGGTGTCTTCTGCGGGAGTTGCTGTTTGAGCTTTCTCGACCTCGCTGGACATTTTAGCAATGTTTGGCGAAATAGGCTTCAGGCTAAAAGGCGATATTTGCTTTTAAATGTTTGGTGGTAGTGCAAAATTAAACTTACCAATTCCACAAAGCTAACCTAATGCTTGAACTTATATGCATCTGTTAAAGTTAGTGATGGAAAAAGTATTAAGCTGCAAAACGATATTATCGATGGTATCGATAGTTTGATTTTTTGAAAAACATCGATTGTTTTCAGTTGATAGTTGATAGTTTCGATAGTGCCGGCGCATTGATAGCTGCGGTCCAAGAGACGAAGTGGCAAAGCAATTCAGCACTGTTGAATTGTGCCGGGTACAACGTGCACCGTCGTCCTTTCCCCGGAGATTCGGCAACTAGTAAACGTACATGAGCGCAAGAAGTGGGAAGAGCATCGGAGGACCTGCAACTTCACCTCTGGTGTGAGTAAGCTTTGGTCAACCGTTAGGTCACTGTCCAATCCGATAAGCACGACGACAGACTCGAAATTTCATCATACGGTCGCCAGGTGCTAATTCTAGCGGCATCTTACCGCGCTGTTACGTACCTAAAACGAAACAGTACCCAAATTATTATAATACATTAAAAAGTTCAGCTTATATTATGTTTTACTTACATAGAATATTTGTTTCCAAAGAAGCCACACTCATGCATCCTCTCGGAAATGGTACAAAAGTCGTCAAATCAAAGCTGAGGACTCAGCAGCTGTGGAGTTTATGGTGGTTGGCTACCGTGCACAAATATAAATGTACACTCTGCATGGCTTTTAACAATGTATGCTTTGGGGCGAGTCCAAAAATTCACTTTGCTGCACACCTTCCTTTTGGTCTACATGAAATTGCAAACACTGGTAATACATACATTTTGTCATGTGCTAAAAATCATACTTACCTAAAGGGCTTCATGTCTAAAATTATTGCTACGTGTTCCTAATTAATCAATCTTTGTATATTTACTGATTCCTGCAAAAATGGCTCATGTAATATATTAATATTAACACATCTCTCGCAATTGCACCAATATGACGTTCTAAAATCCTCTCTCATAGGCGCAATCTTGTATTCAATCATTCTTGGTTTGTAGGAAATTTCGTTAAGTAGGTTGGTCAACTGGTTGGCCGATAAATCAATGCGTGTGTAGGGCCTTTTAAGCGGTGGTTATACTTAAGGTAAGACCGCACTAAGCGACGCGACACTGCAGCGGTACTACGCGACACGGCGCATCACTTTGGTATATCGCACTGAAACTGCAGCGGCGCGACACTTCGCTGCAAATTTTTTAATTTATTTGTATTTAATAATTTTTAATAAGCTTGAGGCCGTTTTTAATAAAAACTTATTGTGGAAAAGCAACAATAATGTGAAAAAATGGTAGAACTGATAGCTATTTTGGAATCACCACATTTTCTCATCAGACTTCTTTCAGTGGGCTTCGTGCCGACGATCCCACTGACTCAGCCAGTTGCCTATGCACTGTGCTCAATTCGCCCTGTAAATTATCGTTGCTTTTCAAGCGCAGCAATTCACTTGATCATGTGGTTGTTGGTTTTTGCTAATAATTCTATTATTAGAATGTTTAACTTTTAGGTGTGCTCGTCCTTAAGTTATTTGTTTTTGTTATTTTATGGCCTTATAACAATTATATTCAACAATTTTTAATGAGCTTGAGGCCGTTTTTAATGAAAAACTTATTGTGGAAAAGCACCAATAATGTGAAAAAATGGTAGAAGTGATACCTATTTCGGGTATCACCACATTTCCTCATCAGACTTCTTTCAGTGGGCTTCGAACCGACGATACCACTGACTTAGCCAGTTGTCTATACACTGTGCTAAATTCGTCTTGTAACTTATCGTTGTTTTTTCACTTTTTCATTTGTTATGCCCTCCTTGTTATGTTCTCCTGGAAAAGGTCTTAAAAGACGTAGGAGAGGCGTGGAAAACATTGTGTTGAATCCCATCACTGTGGACCTTGATTTTCTGCATAACCGCCCACTTTTGGCTCCAGCTATGAACAAAAAACTCATAAGTTTTAACAAACCGATTCCTCAGCGGACTGAATCTCCCCAACCACGTCCTTCTGTCTCACTAAATTCCTGCTCAACAGCTTCATCCCAACTCTCTACCACATCTGAAGCCATCTCCGATTGCGTCAACACCGTCTTGAAGGAAGTAGTCGTTGCTCTTTCCAAAAACTCCACAACTACATCCAACCCCCTACCACATCCGGAGCCATCGTTGCTCCTTTCAAAAATTTGACAGCTGTACCGCAACGCCCTACCACATCTGAAACCGTTTCTGATTACCTTAACCCTGTCCCGAGGGATTTAATCGTTGTCCCTTCCAAAAACTCGGTCTTTGTATCTAGGTTTTCAAAAGATACCACTGTCGATGATGTGAAGGGGTATTTAACTTCCAGGCTGATAGCAAATGAGTTGCATGAACGCAAGTTCAGATTCTCGTATGAAAGAAGCATTTCTTCTTTTAAAATAGACATATCCGAAGACTGCTTTGATAGAGTAATGAGCCCATCTTTTTGGCCAAGCGGTGCCTTCATTCGCGAATTTGAATTTAGATCTAGACCGCAAGGTCAAAATTTGGCTCAAATTTTGCCGAAATTTTGTGTCCTAAGTATGAAGTGTTTCGAAACGACCGTTTAAATAAAAAAAAGGTGGAGGCGCCTTAATAGCTGTCCTGACTGACCTTTCTTCTGAAGAAATTGAGTTCACTGACACCGATGAAGTTGAATCCCTCGGCGTTCGAATAATATATCATTGTAATAGCGTTTATCTTGTTGCTGCTTATATACCACCTAACTCGAGCCTTTCTATTTATTTAAAACACTCCTCCTTACTGCTCTCTCTACATCCAATGGTGAAGCCCTCCGATACTGTTATTGTCCTGGGTGACTTCAATCTTCCGGGTGTGTCTTGGGATCAAATATATAGTGTTCTAGTACCGAATTCCTCTCGTGATCTCTTCAATCAATTTTTGAACGATCTTTCAGACCTCAGCCTTTACCAGATCAACTCTATTAGTAATAACTTAGGAAAATGTTTGGATTTAGTTTTTGTGGACGACGTTTCCAACGTCACGATAGCTCCTAGTTATGCTTTGATTACCCCTGTTGATTCTCACCACCCACCACTAGAATTGTCCTTGATAAATTCACGCAACTCATGTTGCTTTACCAGTAAAAAATCAAGAGCGACTAACGATTATCCCTCAACATTGAAG